AACTGGGATGTCCCCAGCCATCTCCCTTATGTTCCCAAACCGCCACCACTTCACCAGCCAGGTGCCCCTCGCTGTCCCTCTTCATCAGGACCCGATCGGGCTCCTGGTCACTCTCCACTGACACATTTGGGTCTGAAAAAGCTCAGCGTTGCCTCTGGCAGCATCTCCCTGGTGCACCCAGTCACCTCCCGGGCTCCTGTCACACAAGGAACTGAGACAAAAGCACACGGAGGAAAGGCTGTCGAGGAGAGAAGCTGCACGCTGGGTCCCCAGCAGAGTGTGGTGTCAGCTCCTGCCTGGGCTGGCTGGCATTCCCTGKGTGCCTGGCATTCCCTGKGTGCCTGGCATTCCCTGTGTGCCTGGCATTCCCTGKGTGCCTGGCATTCCCTGSCTGTCACTCCCAGCAGTGCCAAGACGGGACCACCAGCTCTCACACAAACCCCGACCTTTTTAATTTATTCAAGCTCCCTTTTATCTTCATGTCCACCCCAAAAACAGATTCTGGGCCTGCTCCACACCCTCCACCCTGCTGCAGGACAGTCTGTACAATSTGGAGCTCTCAGCTCACCAGCGTGTGCTGGATTCAAGCCCTTCTCGAGCCTGGCTGCACAGGTTTGGGTTGTTTTGATTTTGCCTGCTCTCAGAAATCTCAGAAATACCTCTGCCATTGCTGCAGCGGTAGGCGAGGAGAGGACTTGCTCCAACACCTCCCACGCAGAGCCTGGCTCTGCAGCTGCAGGGATTGTTCCCAAGTGTCCGGGGGCCAAGAACGCTTTTTATTACACGGTAAAAGAGCCAGGCTGCGGCTCGCAGCTTTAATTATGCACGTATAATAAACTCCTCTGTTGTCGTCTACCTACAGAGCTGACCTCGCACGGCAGGCTGGTACTGAGTCAACCAAAATTATCCCTGGCACGGCTTCACTGCCTTCARCAGCCTCGTGATTCCGGCCCATGGGTGCTGTTGGAGGGCAGAAACGCTTCGTGGAGGACTCAAAGATTGAGAAAATTGTTCTGAGAAAGCASCTCCTCAGGGTACGGCGAGTGTGGGCTGGGATGTGAGTACACCCAGGGCAGGGTGAGACGGGAGCGTGTGGATGCTGCTCCCTCTCGGATCACACAGTTCATGTCCCGCAGGCTGAGCTGTGGACAGCCYGCACCTCGCCATGAAAGCGGCGCCTTCTTAAAAACAAACAAAACAAACTTTCCTCGGCATATTAAACAATTGTTTTCTGTTCTTCAGGAGAGATCCTCCTTCCTAGATTGAAAATGAAGGATCACGGCAGTGGAGTTGCTCTTTCTCCTTTATCTCCGCTTGGCTCCATTTGGAAGAGATTAGTGTTGCATTTGTTTGACATCCAGGTTAATAGCTTCCCTTCGTCCCACTGCCGGCTTCCGGTTTTGGCTATCTGGAAAGCCGGGCTGGAAATTAATCGGCAAACTCTGGGGAGAGGATCTCGGAAGAAAACTCAGAACAGATTTGAAAAGAGGCTGTTCTAAGCCGTGCCGATTTGGATGCAAGCCACCGGTGAAAATTAGAGATTTTTCAGGAGTTTKCTGCCAAGGAGTTAATGGCAGAGAGTTGAGGTTTTTTTTTTTAATAAATACGCCGGTAATTAATTATAGGAGTTGTCCTCCCGTTTGAAAGTCACGGAACACGATCGCTTGTTTGGGTTAAACATCTCYCCTGCAGTATTTGCAACCCAAACACGGGATGACGAGTGGGAGCGAGCGGTCAGACAAAGCGGGGTCTGTGTGTGTGTGCGGCCCCGGGGAGGCGGAGGAGCCCCGGCACCGCTCCGGCCGCTGCCCCAGGGCTGGGGCCGGGGGAGGGGGGACCCCACAAAGTGCCGTGGAGCCAACGGAGACAGCGAAACAGCAGCAGAGCCCTTGGGCGGCTTTCCCGGAACAGGGAGAGGAGCGGCAGCGGTGGGAGGGAGCGAGGGACGCGAGAAGGGAGGGGGGGAAAACACAGGAAAGGAGGGGGGAAAAAAAGAAGAAAACCAGGAAAAATAAAAAAAGGGGAGGGGGAAAAGAAAAAAAATATGGGGAAAAAAAAAGCGGGCTCTGAGCCAAAGCGTCGCGGAGCGCCCCCCGCCCCCGCTCGCTCGCAGGCCGGGCTCCCGCAGACAAAGGGGCGGCGGGGCGGACCGAGGGCGGGCCGGGGGCTGCTCCCGCTGCCCGGGGCGGGCAGAAAACTCGCACCCACGGCGGTTCCACAGCTCGGCCGTGCAGGTGGGGTTCCCTCGGCGGCGCAAGTTTCCGCGGGAGTTGCGCGGGGGTGGCCCCGCCGTGTCCGCCTGTCCGTCCGTCCKTCCATCCGCCGCTTTGTTCCCGGAGGATGCGGCGCGCCTAACCCCGGCCGAGGCGGTGGGGCCGCAGCGGGGGCAGGGGCAGCCCTCCGCCGGAAAACTCCGCGCCGCCCTCCTTCCTCCTCCTCCTCCTCTTCCTCCTCCTCCTCCTCCTCCTGCTGCTGCTGCTGCTGCCGCTGCTCGGAGCCCCGGCGCGGAGCGATGCTCTCCGGGGCGGCGGGCGGCGATGGAGCGCGGCGGTAGCGCGGAGCCACCGGGGAGCAGAGCGGCCCCTCGGGCAGCTGCCCGCGGCCCCTGAGCGCCGGCGGGAGGAGGAGGAGGAGGAAGAGGAAGGCCAGGCGAGCGAGCAGAGCGCGGCCATGGAGGAGTGGCGGCAGTGCGGCCGCTGGCTCATCGACTGCAAAGTTTTGCCCCCGAACCACCGGGTGGTCTGGCCATCGGCGGTGGTCTTCGACCTGGCGCAGGCGCTGCGGGACGGGGTGCTGCTGTGCCAGCTGCTCCACAACCTCTCCCCCGGCTCCATCGACCTCAAGGACATCAACTTCAGGCCGCAGATGTCCCAGGTAGGAGGGGAGCGATGGATGGGTGCATGGGTGGGTGCGGAGCCCCCAGGAGCGCGGCGGTGCCTGGATGCGGTTGTTGCTCTSGCAGAACTTGCTGGGATGCGGGGATGGGATGCGATGCGTGGAGTCTGTTCCAGCCCCTCGGCAGCCCCTCCCAGGTTTTATTCCCCCGGTTTCTCGCCGGTCGTGCCCCGGGAGAGCCGCGGCCGCACGGGAAAGGCTCCGGGGCGGGGAGAGAACACCCCGGGAAGGAGGGAAACATCCCCCTTCTGTTTACAGCCATGGCGAAACAAAAGCAAATAATAGGGCTRAGAGGAGGAGATGGGATTATTCGGGGTTTTGTGGAGGCGCTGGTTCGTCTGAGATGTGCGGGAGGAGCGGGCGCCGGGACAAAACTTCGGCTGGGAAGATTCAAAGCAAAATAAATGAATAAATTATAAAAAACACCCAAACTCTGATGCTCAGCGAGCCTGTTCCGAACCCGGCCGGGCAGGCAGCGAGGCCATGCGGTGCTCTGAATGCCGGGGCTCCCGGTGATGCAGGGCTTGGGTCAGGGATCCCAATTGCATCCCAACCCCCCTTGCCCTGCCMTCATCGTGCCTGTCCCAGTTGGGTACTTTAAAAAGGTCCATCCCTGAAAATATTTCCAGTTTCTGGTTGGTTTTGGTGGAAGGAGGCTTAAATAAACGGGAGGGAAAAAAAAGTAAAATCAGCTCAGGTTGTTTTGTGTCTGCTGATGTTTTTGCAAGCTGAGCTGYGGGTATTTGCATGGGAATCGGGAAGTGAAATCGATTAGAAACAAGCGAAATGGGGGTTTGTGCCCTGCCCGCCGGCAGCCCTCGTGTTGACAAGTTYGCTTCAGAGAGTCGGCTTTTATTTTTGAACAACAACAGGTTCTGGCGGTGAAATTGAAGGGAAACTTCCCGATGTCGTGGGCATAGGAGACTGTGTTGAACTTTGCTGAAGCCTTCAAAGACAAATAACCTCCAAAACCCCCAGGAGCTCTGTTCCGGTGCCGTGCGAGCA